TTGACTTTCTTCTGATTATATTAAGGTACCTATGTATTTTCTTTGACAAAAATGTGTCGAGCCTGAAGCCTGAATGCTCGAAAGTCGCCATCAACAACGCAGTCAGTCAATCAACGCGGCAGAGTCCAAGAATGCTAGTGTTTAATTTTAATATTTCTTTTTTATATTTTAAGTTTATAAATATAAACCCTACAAGTGAATAAGCGGGTAAACCCGTAGGGAAGGCTAAGGTACCTTAACAACTGACAATTCCTTTGCAAATAAGAACTGAATCATCGGAATACCCGTGCCTTGTACAATAAACAATAAATAAATATACATTCATAAAATTATTTCTACATAATTGTATGCATATTTGATTTCTATTAACATGTATCTATTACCAGTACCTACTGGTACTTATTCATAAAGTTATCTCTTAAATTTTATGAACTCATAAAATATTAGGAATTAATTTTCAATTGTTTATTCAGTGTAATTTTATATTGCGGTCTTTTGTGATCCATTTTAGGTAAGTGTTATAACGTGACTTACTACGTCCGGTAGGTATAGCGTGTAAGGAGTTTTCCGAAGGCCTTATCCATACCCTTTCCCCATCCATTCCCAATCCCTAGATCTCTGAAACTCTAATCCCTATTTGTAAGGCTATTTCCTAAATACAACCAAAACCGATACATGAAGTAAATAATTTCAACGCTTTTCTTTGATTTTCGAGTCGACCTTGTTTTTCAATTACTTCCTAAAGCGAGTCCCATTGATCTATTGTTATAGCGGTGACCTCGTTCAGAGTTAGTTAGTAAAAACAGGCATTACACGAGTCTTTTACATTTGCTAATGAATTCTGGTTATTTGTGGTCATTTTCCTTTGCAGAAAAACCCGGTAAGGGAAGTCAATAAATTAACTGGTTTGCTGGTTTCGTTGCAGCTAAATTGTTCAACTACTGTAAGTAAGTAGCGTTGCGCCCGCGCCTTGAAAAGTCAACAGACTATTACAAATAGGGCCTAATGGCTGATGGCTGATGTTCAGCCGGGGCTGCGGGACAAGCGCAATAGGATACCGTGGCCCTAACCTGGAGCAGAAGAAGGAACATTTTAGTAACTAAAAGTCTGACAATGTTTCTTGCCCCACCCAAGAAATGCAAACAGCTGATGACAAAACACAACACCATGCAAATCGATACTCTTAAACTCATTTGCGAAAACTAGATCACCAGAACCATTTTCCTCAAAGTAAACTAGTTCTCCCAGGGCATTTGCGAATATATCAGTGCAATAGGCGCCATGATGTCCCAACACCATCATTAGGCCATTGTCCACGCCTCGTCTGACCACCATATAGGACATTAATGGGTTCCTGGTGACACACACACATAGAAATGACGCAAATAATGGGATGATACCATGTGTAGCGGGATTTTGTAACAATGGTGTATATGTATATGTATAGTCAAGGAAAATGTTGAGAAATAATCCTACATTAGATCCAAGAGTCGGTTTTTAGGTTGCGTGGAATTTTGCTTGTTTTATATAAAGTTTAGAAATCGGTGTTCGAGAAGAGACGCCTTGTGGACGTCATCCTGAAGACAATGAATAATTAAACGTTAATATTGGAATGAATTAAAACTTACATCATCATAATAAACACAGCGCCTCGACCATAAGTGTTTTTGCATAAATAAAAATGGCTATCTTCTATGAATCTTCCTAAGAATGTAAGAATATTCCAGATGAAAATTATAAATGCAAAAAATATACGGTTCAACGATCTGTAAACTAGACGAAACCAACGATGGTTTGATAATTCCATTTTCGGAGGTCCATTAACATATAATAATACGTAAATTCAACAAAATTCTATCAAAACTAAGGCCATTAGCAACGAAAGTCTCAATTTTGTCAAATTTTTAAAACAATCACACGGCCATTTTGTTACGTAAACAGTCCTTCGAGTCCTCAAAATGGCGGTCGCGTAACGATTCGCAAATTACCTCGAGTGCGTGACCAAGTCAATATAGGAATGATTATCACAATTATATCCATTGTGACACAAGGAAGGCCTGATTAGGTTGCCTATTAGAAGACTAATCAGCTATGACAGTCTTCGTGATGGTATGTCCTAATAGGATTTTCCTTATTGAGTTAGGGAGAAGAGAATGGAACATCCAGGTGTTAGTTAAGTGGGATTTCCTGGTGGAGTTATGAAAATCTTACGAAGTAGTACAGATGAAAAGTGACTTTTCATCTTCATCTTTTTTTATTGTTAATGAACTCAAAAAGAAATTTATTATTCATTTTCCTTAATTCTGCTTTGAAACTTGAATGTCACACATTAATACCTCTGAAACGGCTCGACTATTATCGATAAAACTTCGATAAGCCATCGGCCGCGTAATTGATTATTCGTTTCTGTTACACGTGCTAGGCACTAAACCATAACTTGTGTGAAACATGAAATAATCGATTTTTAAATCTGTTGTAAAAACACAAACCGTATAACTGAATGGTAATTATGTTTGAGGCTTATTTTGGAGTGATGTTACTTAGATGATTTTTATAGAAGTTAAATAACAAATAATATTAGAAGCTCTTTTCTGCTTTTTTTGAGGAGATCTCTCTCCTCCAACATCGAGGAACACGTGCATTGGCCGGTCTTTCGGGGTTTAGTGATTTAAGAGTTGGTGGATTTGGGGATAAGGGGCTAGAACGTGTGAAAGGATTAGGCTTTCTGAGAGATGTCTATATCATGTAGTATACTGAGAATGATGAAACTACTACACTATTATAACACCAATCCAGTTTCTGCAGTTTTAAAATAAACCCTATACAGCGCGCCTAGCAAAAACTTAATTATTTAAGTAGTCCATGATGTGCAATAATATGGTTTAATACTTAAAAGCATCACTTCAGTCTCCAATAATATAATTAAAAAATCGTAGTGATAATATTTTTACGGTTTTTGGAGTCAAGAACTATATAGAACAGCCAAAGGCTTATCATAAAAAATGTTCCTCTCTTAATACTTACAACAGGAAAAAACGCTAATAGATATATGATCATACAACAGAATCTTGATATTAAAATGTTAAGCTTAAAATAATAATATTTTTTGTTAAGGGTCTCCGAAAGATCATAAGAAGTCAACAATCTAAAGAACACACGGAGACGCGTTAAAAGAATACGTCTTAACGTCACATAACGGAAAATGCGACTCTGATCCCATTTTAAGGAAAATTATTTTCAACGAGGATATCTTTAGAAGAAAAAACTTATCGTACTACCAGTTTATTAGAGGTCATTGTCGTTTTGAGGAAAACCACATTTGTAACGATCTGTCACGATGTCTAGACAAACGTTTTATAACGATTATGTGATTTGAGGAAGTCATCGACGTCTTAGACGAAGTCAGAGTCACGCCCTTTCTAATAGAAAGCTAATTAAAAATAAGAAACATCTGTAATCTTAGATTTCCTTCATCCGAAGCACTAAATTCTGAATTCCTCTTTCTGTGTATTACAGAAACAGAGATTAGAGGGCCTACCAAGACGTCTTAAAGCGTCAGTCTTATTACAACTCGCAAATAGAGATGTATCTAAATTATTGAACTGGTAGATAATTGAGACAATCTATATGATATGTTCTTTATTTGGCAGTAATAGGTATGATATATTAATGCTATTATAAAATTTCAGGGAAAAATGAAGACCTTGTCTAAAATATTCTTCTCAATACTCAATACACTTATTGCATTTCACAATGTGAACTTAGGTGGTAGCGTACATAAGGATATGCTTAGAAATATTGTAGGCCCTGTCAACTGATGTTGTGAATTGCTCTTGCAATTTTGTCTTTTTGTTTCTTAACATTTGATTGAAGTACCAACAAAGCCTCACTTAGTGCATAGCTGAAGACGATTGCACAGAACAATTACGAACGACCGAGTTGTGTCGCAACAATAATCTGCAAGTCTACGTTAAAACTGGAATCATCTGTTACGAAATTACTTGATTATATCACTAGATATTTAACTGGTACAATCTACACCAGGTCTTGGTAGGATTTATTATATTATTATGTTAATTCGAAACAGGTTCGCTAAAATATGCCTTTATGGTTGATGATTTCTTCACTCATCTTTGAATAAACGGCTGAATAAAGCTGACTTGCCTTACAAGCCTTAGTAGTTACTTCATCTTCTTCTTTAATGTCATCATCGTCACCATCATATCTTCCACCTCCCCAAATGACAGTCAGATTAGATGTTTGGTAGGAACCTGCATCTAGCGGATCCATGTACTGAAATAGATCTCCTTATTCTGTCAACCGAGCAGCCGCAACTACTGCTGGTAAATGCATATCGCTGTCCTTCGACATGCGCAATATCTGAGAAGACACAGGCGCGTTGGTGGTGGCCTTTTAAGAAGGCGTTCCTCGGCTTGGAACGACGACGGACGAAATTAATTAGTCATACTTACACTACACATCAAAATTCTGCTCTTGAATGGCGGCATAGAAGAAGCGACCATGCGAGCACCAGCACCGATGATGCTTTCTGAATTTTAAGCCATATCTGGTAATTGAAAATCGCGCAAGCTTCAGAAATCCATTGCAGTATATTCGTTTTACGAGGAACCGGAGACAATCATTCGAAAGTATGCACGGTAATTGGCTTGATCGATTACATTTACAATAAGGATAACTATTGGTAAACAGGATATTCTAAATCGCAATTTTCGAATACAGCAGGATTGATTTATCGGTATTACAAACGCGATCTTGCAGCAATTTGTTAACATTATCGATTGATATCTAAATCGTTGTTACGTGTGGAACGCGTTCGCCTAAAGAGGTCTCGCTTGAAGAGATCGTTATGTTATTGTTCACGATTAACCGGCACGTAGCGCATGACTTTAGCATATAACATTTCGAGTTTTAAGCAGACAAGCTGGATAGTAATAACTTTTTTGATTGGGTGTGGTAACTTGCTTAATCTGCATATACTTCTATACTAAAACTAGCGGCCTGGCCCCGCTTCGCACGGGTCCCACCATCTCGCTGTCAAAGGGGCACTTTTTCCTAATCTTCCCCTCTACTTTTCTAATATTTTCTTTAATAAGAACCTTCTCCTGAAAATAACAAATACAAAACAAAAAAAGTATTAGAAAAATTGGTCAAGGCGTTGTTGAGTTATGCGCTTACCAACACATTTTGCGATCCATTTTTATATATAAAATTATAAATGATAAAGTAACACTGTCTGTCTATCTTTTCTTCACGCTGAAACTACTGAACCGATTCTGTGACCACATAGGTTGGAACTCGAGAAAGGACATAGGATAGGTTTTTATACCAAAAATCTGCAGGAAGTCACGCGACCGGAGCCGCAAGCAAAAGCTGCTGAGAATAAAATGATCGTTGTTTGTAATGATATATTATCGGCTGCCTACACTTACACATTGCGTAGGGGTGGTAACGATGTTGAAAGACATACCTTAACATCTATAAGCCTGACAGCGAAAGCAGCAGCTTCAGGCGCCGTGAGGCTGAGTTGGCAGGGTGTGCGGGGCGCGGAGGGGGGCCGGACTAGGGCTAGTGCTAGCGCAGCCCCGGCCCCGCTGTTGCTGCCTAACTCCAGCTTCTCTGTGCGCCCGCATAGCAGACTAGAACAGATCCCTGGAACAATGGAAAGAGTATTTTAAAACAATGGGCTATATGGTAACGGTTAAAGGCTCTTAAGGTAAATATCTTAAAATAAATTTAATTAATATTTCATTTTAGTATTACTTTTTTTTAAAAGGAGGAAGAATTTGTGTGGGAGTGAGTTTGATGTCTGCTTGTTGGTACGACAAGTTCAAATCGTCGAAATTAAAAAAAAATAGAAATAAATTACTGCTGCACATACTTGTCAAACGAAACAAGATGTCTACCGCACCTCACTCAATTTAGACTTGAAAGTCTTTTTTTTGCTTGACCTATTTCATTTATTATATGCCTCCACGCATCTAACGTTACATAGATGACAAATATCTATGATCACATAAAAAATGGCTCCAAAAATTTATTTTGACATCACACATAAAACAATTTATCGAAGCCAATTCAGGCAATAAAGTCCAGACGGTGAGCAGTGCAGAAATAAACTGTTTACAGAGAAATCGCGAAGAGATGCGATTATGAAATACTAACTACCCGTAGTAGGTACCTACTCATGTTAAAAAATGCTCAGTGTTTTTTGACAGAACTATGGTTTTTGTGGCATATGGTGACAAAGGAGTAGTCGGATTAGCTGATGGTTAGCAATCAGCGTCGCCCATGGCCATTCACGTCGCCCGGTATTGTTGGGGATAGGAGGGGGTGGATTGCATCTCCGGTAAACTCACTAACATGGAAACACAACATAATCGTTATTTCAGCTGGCTCTTGTGTACAAAAGTATTTTAAATGTCGTAGGAAGTCCTTAGAAGCAGGAGGCATCCAAACGGCAAATCTGAAAGTTATTGTAGCCGGCCCCTTTTCGGTAAATGTCGTGTGGCTGATGTGATAACGACAATGATGCAGTGTGCCAGACAAGATTATGAAACAATGAAATCATTTTGTATGTTGGCCATAAAACAGCAATTTACACGTCAACATTATATAAGTATCTAAGTGACTACTCTGAGAAGAAACGCTGAAGAGGATAGGCCCTGTTAAGGTTAGTTTTTATTCATTTCTTTTATTCAAGAGGTTAGGCCATTTTAAGTTTCTATTTTATTCTTTTTTATGGTGTGTGTATTGTCAACTCAAGAAGATTTATTCCTTTATGATTTGATTTGAAGAATTTTGATCAAATATAACATGCTAAATTCAGTCTCAATAATCGGAGATTCCTGAAGTTCATCGATAAGATACATGGTCAATAAATTAATGCTATAAATTTAAAAAAACGTTGCCCTACATTTTTTTCGTTTCTAAAGCGATAACGATTGTACTGATCATGGCTAGGGTTGGATGAAGGACACATTCCGAAATTCTTAGTCGTCCATTCATGCCCTTTATTATAACTCAGACATGTTTGTATAGGCATTGTGGGCCACTAAGAGATTTGTTTTGCATACCATCATACATCGACCCTTAGTTATGCCGACAATTATGACTGACATTTCATCAAACCATAATTCAATTATAGCTAGACAAGTGTTCATATTTTGATTGCCCTTTTCATCTAGCTTCCAAGAAGAACAGGTGATGTTGATTGTACTACATATATAAGCAAGAAAATTAGATTATGAGCGTAAAACGGTTATTTTATTGCGAATTTGCAAGCCAAATGTATGTATATAAATACTTAGCAACTCCAAAACGTATGAGCTATCAGCGTTTGGCAATGGATTCGCTGTGCGCATTCAAATTATCATTCTCATCATCTTAGTCAAGTGTAAGATTCAAATGTTATACGCTAGGATATAGTACAGCTACATTTACACCCGGTTTCTGAAAGGCTTGTCAGCGCTAAAATTAACTAATCTCCTGTTATATCTCTCTATTGATTTATCGGTATTACAAACGCGATCTTGCAGCAATTTGTTAACATTATCGATTGATATCATACAGAAGTCATCTGATTGGTTGTTGATAATTCAGTCAGCCAATCAGATGACTTGACAAGAGATTAAATTGATTTTAACATTGATCGGCCTTTCGGAAACCGGGGGTTAGTCTAATATCTTGTGCCTTCTGTGTTATATCTGTCTTTAAGTGAGAGGAGCATGCCTCAGCAAGAATGGGGCGGAGTCAAACGGAAAATAGAAAAAACGCTTGCATCGTGTGAGAGATTTCTGGAATTTAATTGGCAAAGAATAAGTAACTCGTCTGGTGTTGTGGGAGTCCATTGGTAAAACCGAATGCTTACCATGAAGTGACTTAGCGGCTTGTTTTTTTAAAAAATGCTTGACATCAAGCAAATTCAATATTTCCGCTTTCATAGCTAAATTGCGTTGCAGTTTAAAACATACATATTGTATACATCATGGAGTACGAACTCTGCAAGATCCATGTTTGTAGGTTCAATTAACACCTCTTTGATAATTAGTTTGTCATGTGATTGTACGGTATCTTTTCTTCGTGTTCTTTCAATCAATCCTTCTTATCTTTCGATTGATTCCTTGCATATATTTTCACATAAATCGTATCCATTGGATATGATGGTACAATTAAAGATAATTTTATAACTTCTACCATAAATTCATAAGTAAACGTTAAAAAGAAGGCTTCTATGAACCGTTACCGGACCTAGCAAGTATTCATGACGCACAATTTCGAGAACTTATGTTTTTATAGAACTTTGTATTCCCCCTTAAAGTCGCTTGCGCATGCGAACTAGACGAATCGTGACAAATCTACATGTTAATAAGAATATTGAGGCAAATACATAACAATAGTATTTTTTATTTAAATAATTTTATGCAACATCAACCTTCAAAACATCTCTCTGCATTACACAAAATTTGGAAAAATATACCTAGCACCAATGACGTATTATATTATACATCATTGCCTAGCACACGAAATAAAATCTCTTTTACTTGTAACCAAAAAAAAAAACAACCGCTTTTCAATAAATAACAATTCGCAACCGTCTCACGCTCTATGATAGAAAACCGCCATGCGCAGTTCGAATGCGTAATGGACTAGGACACACCACATGCGTACACGCATGTGTTAAGGCCAAACAGCCGGGCAGACAGAAATAAAACAAATTATAATTCTAAATCTATTCCCAGTCTAATTACAGATACATTAAATTAAATACCTTTAATGGTTTGTAGCTACCGAAAATAGCCTTCTGTGTGTCCGTTTGGTAATCACTTTAATCATTAACTTACTTGCACAGCCAGGTTTCTAGAACGACTATGATACATATACATATGTTTGCTTAAATATTTGAGAATTGCTTGGATTATATAATCTATTACAACAACTCTAAAATAGGTATGAATAGTTTTAAGTTTTTTTTTTGTCAAAATACAAGTCTGGCCAGTTTTTCTAGTTCCATTTTTGAATTGTTTTTTTTTTGTGTGTTTGAGAAAACTGTTTCAAATCCATTTTAAACTTGTATTTTTTGTTTTATTACGTCTGACAATGTCAGTGGCAAGAAAAAAAATGAAAATGAAAAATACCTAGACACTATTTGATTTTCTATGCTCGACTCGTTTAGTCATCGCTAGTAAATTCTAGACTTCACGTTAAATACTAACTAGAATTATCTACGGTGGGACAGGTTCAGTTTTCTTAAAAGGTTAGGTTAGCCGAGGACTATTTTTAGAAATAAGTAGGTGTGTAATCTTTATTCAAACAGAACTCCCTTTAACATTCGTTGTACGTGTAATATTCATTTGAATACCGTGGTTTTTAAGGTATTATGACTATGAAAGGGATAGTCAACACGAATTTTTACGACATTAATATGATATGATCGATTCAGATACTTCCAAAATTTCTAAAGCTAAAGATAACATTGTGTATTGTGTGTAATATTTATAACACAGGTTATTCACGTACATACTTATTTGTACCTTCAAGGACAATTTTAATACTAAATAATCTTCTAAGTACCTACCTACCTACCAAAAATAATAACACTAAATCTATTTTTAAATCTCAATACCTACGTAAACACGAAAATGTCCCAAAACAAACGAACTAAGTTCACAAAATAAACATTATAATAACTATACTTAAAAAATAACCTTGAGAACGTTCGAGAAAATTCTAGAAATAAACAAAAGATCCTTAGATTTTGAACCGCCATTTTTGTTCCATCTTTAACGTCAAACTGACGTCATTTAAACGTCAAAGTCAGCTGATCGCTTACACAATGCACGCCACTTTTCACGGATGAAAGGACAAAAAAATTATATACATTGGCACATAATCAAGTGTAACGCATATGTCGGTAGTTTTTTCAATACATAGGGCAGGTGTTCTAATATTTCGGTAGGTATGGACTATTTTGTGGATGTTAAAAAAAATATATAAACGTATAAAATTCAGTACCTTCAGTGCATGTAACGTAACGGACAAATAAAAGTTAGTCCTGAAATCTTACTATAAATGCTATAAAGGATGAAAATCTCCAAATTATTTCTATGAGTTAAAACTTACTAGTTTAAAACTACCCGGTTCTTTTCCTGCTGTACGCCAAAACGGCGGTAAATTATTACGCTTTTACCCCGGCTGCCGTGTAACTATGACTTTCAAATATTATTAAATCGATTTTGGTAAATTTTGCAGAAAAACAGCATTGAGTTAGTTGTCGGCACTTGCAGGACCCCTGAGTCTTTTATAGACACTTTAATAAGAATAATGAAATGGCGTGTGTTTCTGGACATACATGAAATGCCAGCATGATCATTATCAGTTAAAAAACTTTTTAAAGAAAATAATATGGAATTTCCTTCCATATTCAAAACTTTGAAAAAGGAAACCATTAGGGAACGCAACTTCATACAAATATTATTGCTAATAGCACCCAGTTGTAAAAGCTAAAGGTCTCATTATGCTAAATAGGTACCTAGAGATTCTATTTATAGAGAAGTACTAGGCTTGCATAAGACTCAGGTGGACACTTGGCAGAAAGCCGTTTCATACTACAAACACGTCTACGACACCGTCTGCATCACAAGGTATACGGCATAACTTGAGGCTTGTTTTCACTTTGATACTGGCAGTAACACGAAGATCTTTTGACATTTTAGAGTGAAGACTGTGGCAAATAAAACCTCCATGGCGTTATTTGCTTAAAGAAATAATGTCTATAACCTTCCCCTTTCTAAGCAATGCTTTGCTATTGAAAACAGTACAGAAAAATGTAACTTGTCGAAAAATATCTGCAGCTTATATAACGTTAAAAACGTTTTTACCAATATCTAACTTCTGCAAATCGACTCAAAATGATGCCACGGCGTTTGATATTCTCGACACACTTCAATTGCAAATCTCCGGGCACTGTTCCAAAATGCTGAACTGGAAATCAATGAGGATCATGCAGGTGTTACAAGTTCCCTTTGCGCACACAAAATGAAGAGAGAATTTGCTGATTGTTTTGTTACGTCTACCCACCATTTTATCATGCTGTGTCAAATACTAATTTTGATATGTAGACTTTGGATACCTAACCGACTTTTCTAATCGAAGGTAGATTAAAATCAAATTAAATTAAAATAAGAATT